GGGTAAGAAAATATTATACTAATTAGTTTGTTAGGATTGTGATTATATGAAAGTTAAGATAAAATGAAATGTAACCAAAAAATCTGTTCATGGCCNTTGGCAAGTTTGTTAATGAGTTAAATCAAGTTATACAAATGATTAAATAGTTAAAATGTTATATCAATTATATTTTAAGAAATCCGATTATATAAAAATGGGTAAAAAAAATATTATACGAATTAGTTTGTTGGGATTGTGATTATATGGAAGTTAAAATAAAATGAAATGTAACCAAAAAATTTGTTCGTAGTCTTTTCCTTTAAATGTTTGAATTTAAAAATCTAATAACCAAATTTACATTATATCACGTATGGAAAAAAATAAATAATAAACATTTATTAAAGAGATAAATCAATAATATTTATCACTTAGATAATAAATAATAAATATTTACATGTAAAAAAATAAACAATAATATATTAAAAAATATAAGTCAGAATTTCAAATAAAGTAAAAGGAGGGATAACTCATTTTTAAAAAAAAGTTTCTAAATATTTAATATATTGATAAGTATCTCCATAAGAATAATCATACCATTTTAATTTTAAAAAAATTGGCAAGTTTGTTAGAGAGATAAATCCGGTTAGACAAATGATTAATTCGTTAAGATATTATATTAATTGTATCATAAAAAATCGGTTAGATAATGTAGATAAAAAAAATATAATACTAATTAGTTTGTTAGAAATGTGATTATGAAAACCAAGATAAAATGAAATTTACCCAAAAAAAAGTGGAATCTTTTTCTTTAAATGTTTGAATTTACAAATTTAATACCGAAATTCTATTATATCACATAAGGAAAAAAATAAATAATAAATGTTTATTAATATATTAAAATATGTAATTTTGAATTTCATAAAAAGTAAAAGGTATGATAGTTCAAATTTATTTTTAAAATAAAAGTTATGATAAACATTTATTGATTCTGTTTCAAATATATTAATAAAATAAAAATATAAATCTAAAAAAAATTTGAAACAACCAAAAAAAGGAAGTGAAATCAGATTTGATTGGTTAACAATATTTGCATTAATTTTGGTTGGAAAGGAATTAAATCGGAGTTGATTGGTCATTGCCTATTTGGTCGGATTTGAACTAATTTTGGTTAACAAAAAAAAGGAACTAAAATCGGATTGCATTCACATCCAAATTCAAAGATTAGAAGAAGTTAATCCGCACAATTTAATTGA